AAGCAATTTCTATGGCAAAGATTCTTTTTTGTTCAAATACAATTTAACTAGCCATTCTAGGCTCTCAATGGAGAATCGCAAGATACATCATTCAAGAGCAGTCAGTTACTAAATTGCTTTTTCATTGTGTTTTCCCTTTTTTTGAGTTGAGAAGTAAGCATCTGTTCAGATGTTGTAAGCTCTCCACCCTCTGTCAGCGAGCAGATGCAAGTTAGACTTTCTAGTCAAGGAAGCCCGCGAAATGCGTTCATTCGTTATGTACGGAATGGAAAGTGCAAGGTGATTTTCTACGTTTATCTGACAACCTTTGGAAAAGGGACACGTTGTAGGGAGGAGGAAGGAAAAAACGTTGAGGCTTAGAAAATTATATGCAAGGGATAGGGCGAGAAGACTAGTGGTGAAAGCGGTGTAGTGGTAAGTGGCACGCTTACAACACGCACTCGGGCGGAGGGGGAGTTTCCCCCACACTGGCCAACCAAACCTTCAGCCCTCGGGGACCTCAGATGGTACCATTACGTATGGGAGGATAAACTAACTTTTAGGTGGGATAGCCGCGGAAGTCATTGTGTAGGCTACATCGTATTCAATAAACCACTGCGATTCTGAATAGTGAGGGAGTGCGTGCCGGTTCCAAAACAGGAATTGATCGAAGACTATCATTCTTTCTTTCAGGGCGAAAACCTTATTAACTATGACAGTAAGGCGCGGGTTCAATTCCTGTCTAAGGTGAAGACTGGCCCATAACTCAGCACCCTTGTAAAGTCAAAAGCCACTTGAATCTATGAACACAGTTTCTTACGCAGTTATTCGCTCAAGCCAGCTATTGATTGAGTTAATGGCTTTATAACATATGAAACATGATGCTTTCGCCTTTTCTAAAACTGCCCGTTTCGACCCATCCTTCTAGACTCTGCACTGCTTGTAATATGATTCACCTAGAATGCTGATATATGAACTCATTTTCCACCTTTATTGCTTCATATTATCGAACTGTATCGAAACTCTGCATACTAATTGCGAAACATTGAGATTACACTGTTAAAAGCCTCCATGTTATTCCTACTTGTGACCTCAGGATTTTGCATTTTATTTACTTTTCCCAAGCGAGGTTGTTAGATGGTCTAACCACTTAACAATCTCATTTGGTAGAAGTAAAATGACTGTTAAAAGCATAGAATTCTGCATTCAAACCAACCACCCCACCACCACGCCCTGCTTCTGTGTCGATATCAAAATTCAATGATGTTTGGACTGCTTGTGGGGATGTGATAGGATAGGATTTACACGATGGTCTCACGTTTCCACCCAAACTGTTTTATTTACATGCTTGCAGGTGCAATATGAAGATGGGCGGTTTGAGTGGATCGGCGAGGATGCTGTAGATCTATGCGAAGTCAAACCCGTGCCACATTCGGATCACTCCGGGTAAATCCTTTTCAAAATTGTTGTGCTTCAAAGCCACTGATCACCTTTGTAGCTCAGGGGTGGTATTACAGGTACCATGCTGGTGCTTTAGCTCAGGATAGCGACGCTGCTAGCGTAATCGTGGAGACACCACACATGAAGCGGCCATGTTC